CGCTCAGGCAAAATGGAGAGCTTCTTTATTTGCAGTTGGTTTATATAGAGAATTTTGTACATGCGCACAATACAGCAATGACCTCATTGATCCATTTAAACATCATGTGACTACCTCGTGATTATCTTCCAATAATCCACTCAAAATACACCTTTTGACATAACCCTTTCAACATAACCCAATTTAACATAACTTAAAGGAGAACATGTTATTAGCCATTACTTCTTTGTTCTTATCTGATGATGCCTGAGGCTATGGAGGAACAAGGTAGATTGAATACCTGCCCTTGCTGGCCTTGCCCTTTGGAGGTTGTTACTTCAGATCTTTAAACAAGTCATAAAGAAACTTCTTGGGCATACAGGAATTTGTTTGCAAACCTCTGCTCCCATATAGGCCTTTATTTCTGGAACCTTTTATAAGGAATTTTCAGGCTGGACTTCTCAAAAGCCTTTCACGAGCCCAAGTTTTATCTGCGCCATTAGATACCTGTATGCATTGGGTCCCTGAGCACATTTCCATTCCCAGACCCATCAGCAAGCGACCTTTGTTACTTACCACAGATCAGGAAAGGTTACTGATGGGTATCTGTCCAGTTTTCCAAAGGGCTTTTTTATTGGCCTTATAAAGTCAACTTTAATTCCTTAACGCAGTAAATGCTATTCCAGCCAAAGCCTTGGTCATGTTAGGTTCACAACCAACCCCGCCACATGGGATTCTGCCTCAGTTTCTTACAAGTATGCCTGCACAGAGTCTTTTCACTGCTCTCTCTCAAACAACTTTTTTGGCCAGAGGCATATAGGCATTTCACCTATAGACAACCTTCAGAATGGGAAAAGGTATTTGCAAATTATGAATCAGACAAAAACTTGGTATCTAAATCTATAGAGAACTCAAATTAATCAACAAAAAAAGACTCAACAATCCCATATATCACTGGACAAGAGAGGTGAATAGAACCTTCTCTAAAGAAGACAGACGAATGACTAACAGACATATGAAATTTTCCCTGGGTCTTTGGCTCTTCATTTCTGAAATCTCCCATAAACTCTGATTAAATATATTTATTATGCTTTTCTCTTTTTAACCCATGTTTTGTTGCAGGTGTGTCAGCCATGATCCTTATGATGGGTGAGAAAAAGTGTCACACCTCCCACTGCTTCAGTAGAATGGAGGTTGCCAGGCATTAGGGAGAGTGGGGAACAGGGAGTTGTTGTTTAATCAGCATACAGTTTCAGATTTGCAAGATGAAAATGTTCTAGAGATCTGTTTCACAGCAATGTCAATATGCTTAAAACTACTAAGATGGTAAACTGTATGTTAAACTTTATGTTACACAACAAGAGAGAGACAGAGAGAGAAACTTGAATTCCTGCCTGGCTCTGACCCTTTTAATTTTGTAAGTTTGAAAATTCACTTTATCTTTCTAGCTTCAGTTCTCTTTTCAAATTTAGATTTTAGAGTGACTGTGAAATTTAAGGAGATAATGTATGAACATTTTTTCATAATCTAGATGGTGGTAGGAAGGTGGAAATTATTATTATCAGTGAGGAGAGAATGGGGAATCTCCTCTGGAGTCCAGCTGGCACTAAACACCACACCCAGGTAGTGGTGAAACGGCTGTGGGCCCCAGTGAGAACGGAGAGAGAACTCAACACCAAGCATACATTGAAGTGAGACCTGAAAGAGAGGGTATTCACTGGCTCACTGACTATCCTCCAAAACACATGGTCATGAGCAAGATGACAAGAATAAGGTTGTTCTTTCTAAGCAAAAGATAAGAGAGGCTGACAATAGCAGAAACTGCAAGTTCTGCAGGTAGCAGCTGCCAAACAAAGGATTGTATTTACACATCCTCAGAGTAGGAAGGACTCTTGCAGAGAGACTGGTTGTATTGGACAGAGCTAGGCTTATGTAAATGTGTCAATTTACTTTCCCATCTCATTTTGAAACTTGCAGTTTTCAGATGGATGGTTCATTTGACAAACCTCTATATAAGTTGTGAGCATTTTTATTTTAGTTAAGCTTTTTCAGTTGGAAGGAGCAGAACAAGCTCCTTCAAGTGAACTCATAAGAGGGGATGTACATTATTATGAAAATACACATAGCATAACAAAGGTGGATTTGGATCTAGAGCTAGAGATCCATTCTTAGATCTTCCCTCATGTTGCCCATAAATGTGACTTACCTCCAATTCACTTTCTACATCTTTCTATCCTACAATAGGCAATTTTTTTCAGTATTTTTTAGTTTAGATTGATAAGTCCATTTTTTCAAGCCAGACCACAGGGACATGGGGTCAGGTCTCAAGTGGCTCCTCCTGTTCTGGTGGTGGGGTAGAGAAAATGATGTCAAGACCAAGTAGCAAAACACGTGGCTACTCCAAAAACAGAGGCTGTGGGCAGAGAACTTTCTCTTAGAAAGGGTTATGATGTGCCAAAGAAAGTCAATGATTAATATCAAGTCTTTGGGAGGATCTAACATAAAATCTTTCTTTCTTTCTTGGTTCTAAGCAAATTGAGAAATAAAAGAGGCAAACAAGAGACAAAATATTGCTTTTAATTCTGATAAAAGTTAAATGGGAAGATTTGGCCTTGTATTAGAGGATAGGGAATCTGCTAGCTAAACCCCAGAATTATGTAAACTTCCCCTCATTCAGTCACAAGAATTACTGGGCCAAGCGGAACACCTCATATAGAGTTGCTTACTAGGTAAGACTTACAAGATAGAGAAGGAGAGAAGAATCCCTACTTCCTTTGGACAACTTATTTCCAAGAGAAAAAAGGGAAGGGCGAAGCCATACATGCCCAGTTGATTCATCAGCCACTCCACCTTCTGCAGATCAGAATGAGCAAAGGGAGAGCGAGAGGCTGCGAGTGCTGCAATAATTGAGTTCCCCTCACATGGAAAGAAACATCAAGAGAAGAGAAGAAACATCCCCCCCTTAACAATTTTGACATCTCTGTCACAATGAGAACAATGACTGGCTTAGAAGAAAAGATAAATATACAGTGAAAATCTTTCATTGTAAATTTTCACTTAATAAACACATTTATAGTTTTAAAAGTCCTAATAAGTTAAGAAAGCAACAGTTTGAAAAGAGAAACGGCATTGTGCTGGTTATTGGTGGGCATTACCTGCTTGATAGGTACATATAAATGTTCTATAATGTCCTACACATATAAATGTTCTATTCCACATGCAGTGCCATAGATCATCAAAAAAGGAAAAAAATTACAAACCAAATCATGTAAGTAAATACCATCTATAGAATCCTGGAATGGGCTAGATGTAAACTTTCCAGCCTGTTTTACTCAGCAATATGTAAAAGCATCAAATTAAAATTCTAAGAAAGCTATTCCAGACACATTTTGAAAAGCAGAGACTGCTCTCCATTTCTGTGAGTGTATTTGTTCTTATTTTCAATTTGTTCAATTAAACCAGGGGTCCTCAAACTTTTTAAACAGGGGGCCAGTTCACTGTCCCTCAGACCATTGGAGGGCTGGACTGTGTGCCCCGGGACGAGTCGGCAGCTAAGCAGGATGGGCAGCAGCGGCAAAATCACCCAGTGGGCTGGATAAATGTCCTAGGCAGGCCACGTGTGGCCCACAGGCCATAGTTTGAGGATGCCTGAAGAAAGAGGAGGAGAGGGGAGAAAGGAGAGAGACAGAGAGACAGAGACAGAGACCAGAGACCATTCTAAGACCAGCAACTGCAACAATGTTAATTGCATACAGGGTACTTATTAACACAACTGTGAATATCAGATAAGTAATAACCAACTCCTCTATCCTAACATAGAGTCAGTACAAGGGATGTGAGCATGTGGGATCTGGACCTGTCCCTCTGTGTTCACACCCCAGGTCATGTGACCTTCACCTAACCTCTGCATTTCAGGTTTTCCAATCTGTAAAACAGGAATAATAATGGAACTTGCCTGTTACGATAACTGTGAGGACTGAGAAAATTGATACGTATAAATACATATAACACTGTGCTTGGCACCTGGCTTTCCCCATTAAGTGTTAGCACTTAGATTATGTGGAGAACGTGGTGCTAGGGAAATGGGCAATGCTTACAATGCTTTCTAGGCTCCACTGAATTATTTTAGCATATGAAGATAAAAGTATGGGATGATAAATTCATTTATGTTACTAGCTGCAAAACCACTGAAGCAAAGATCGTTAGTATAACATCCTAACCAAAGCAAAAGATAGTGATGTTCCATAAAAATTTGCCTTATTTATCTCTGCTTCTCACTCCTGAGGTTACACTTCCGTTTCACAGTTATCTTCCTTCAATGAGTAACTAAAGATGGTGATACCGTCAAAGTTAAAATATTCCCTAAAATTCTATATAGTATTTTTTTTCTTCATGATAATGTAGGCAGTAAATGAAGGAGCGTGTCATGATCTGATGTGGAAAGTTCTCCCAGATGTAAGGATGATTGAAAGAAGAACAGCAACGCAACTACAGTCTAGTGTGATCTCATTTCTAAAAGAAAGACAGGGAGGGCAGGATTTCTAAAAGAGAGAGGAGAGGGGAGAGAGAGAAGGAAAAGAAAGAGAGAGGAGAGGGGAGAAAGGAGAGAGAGAGAGACAGAGAGACAGAGACCAAGCTCAACACAAGACAAAGAATTGAGAAAAAGGGGTAGAAGTTCCAAAAGGCACTCTCCCAAACCAGTCTTACCAGACTAGGGGCAGAAGGGAAAGAAGTAGGGATACTACTCGACACTTACAATTGTCACCCTATATACTTTTGTTTGAGTTTTTAACAACAGGAAATAGGCATTTATCCCTTGCATTATTTTAGAAATGGAATGGGAGAAACGGAATGAAGGGGAAATCCCACGATTGAATAGGGACTTTATTTTCTTCCTCTTCGTTCAGTCTCCTAATAAAGTACGTTTTTCCTCGGGTGCGATGGGTTTTGCTGTTGCTGTGTTAACGAAAATACCTAAAACAGCGTGCTCAGCCTGCCTTCTGTCGCCCGCGGGGCTCCAGGCGTCCCTGCGCGCGTCCATCCGCGCCCGGGACTGTGGCGCCGCGGCGGCCGTGGTGTTCCTGGTGGACCGGTTCCTGTACGGGCTCGACGTCTCCGGAGAGCTGCTGCGGGTCGCCAAGGGGCTCCACAAGCTGCAGCCAGCGACGCCGATTGCCCCGCAGGTGGTCATTCGCCAAGCCCGCCTCTCGGTCACTCAGGTAGGCTCCCCCCGCCCGCCCCCCCCGGCCCCCGGCCCCCGCCCGCCCGAGCTACTTGACCTCGGCGCAGCCCGCGGCCCCGCGCCCCGCGTGCCACCTTTCCGCGCCCGGGTCCCCTCCCCCGCGCGCCGGCGGCCCTTCCACCCGCCTCTGCCCGCACAAAGGCCCTGGCATAAAGGGTTTCAGAGCCAAAAGCAGTAGGGAAAATTGTGAAAGGGTGTGGAAAATACTAATTGGAGCTTTTGTCTTCTAACAAATCTATCCTGCTGCTTTCAAACAGGGATATCTGAATTGCTATACTTCTGACCAAGAGCCTTTAAAAAGCAGATTAGAATTCTACTATTTTCTCTTAGCTCTCCTGTCTCCTTTCTGTAGGGCCACTTGACTAAGCTAACAATGGAGCTGACAAACCCACTGAAGTAATTTGAGGGTTTTTTTCATCCTTCAGAACACCGGTACAGTACCTGATTAGGTCTTAAAGTATCTTTTTTTTCCCCCTGTCACTTTGAATGAAATGAAAAATGAGACTGACATTCTAACTTAAGATGTGATGTCGAGTTGGGTAGGAGGAGAAAGGGGGCCTGCTATGCATTACAGCGAAGTCCACTTCCATAGAATTCTTGAATTATTTAAATTGCCCATAAGACTTAGAAAGGCGCAGCCTGCTACTCTCAATTTTCAACAAGTGAAAGACTAAAAGATGAAAAGAGAAAGCAGGTTGCCTCTCCCAGAAACAGTACTGCTTCATTTTTTGATTCGTGGTAGTCATTGCTATTATTTTAATAACTCTGGTCTTCAAGAGGTTAAAATCCCTTTACCTCATTTCCTTTGAAAAGGAACTGTACTAACTACACTAAGTGGGACGGTTGCTGAACACACAGAGAGGGACAGAGACAAAAGGACAGGGGAGACATGGGCTTGTGGAGGTTAACTTTTCAAAAGCCCAAGTTCATTCACTTTCAAATTCTTGCAACTGTGCATAAATTGTGCCGAGGCCTTATTATTTGCTTTTCTTGAGTACCTGCAGGAAAAGAGTTGAACTTAAGAAAAATTATTTTTTCAAATGTTGTTGATGGTGTTTATAATTTGGGGGGACAGGAGGGAAACCTAACAACTAGTGTCCTTTCTGATGGTGTCAGATGGCAATGAAGTGTGAGGAGAGCATTGGGGGTGGGACAGAATAATGAAGGCTGGAGTGTGCAAGGCAGGCTTATCATATTAGTCCTTATCAAACAGAACTTGCAACAGAGTTAATGTCTAACATACTTTGTGAAATACAGAATTGCTATGATGTGGTGGAGAAATTGAGGCCAAATGTAAGCAGGTAGGTATAGGTTTGCTTTTGCACAACCAAACTGATCTTTTAAGTTTCCTTTTTGTTGTTGTTTGTTTGTTTGGTTATTTCTCTCATGTCTCTAACCAAAATGGTGTACTGTTTTTCTCCTGATAATAAGTAAGCCGTGATATGATCATGAGGAGGTGGCGCCTCTGTCTACATCATCATAAGTCCTGGATCTTATTCCCCAACAGTTGGGATTGTCTTTTCCTCAAGACAGAATCGGAAGTGTTATACGAATACAAACTCAGCCTCAGAATGAAGTCTTCTGTGGGTAAACTTCTGCTGAGGCTTCACCTACACTGCATATCTCAGAGAGAGGGACAGAGTGGTGTAGGCATGAAGGAAGAAGGCACCGTGAACGGGGCTTCCAGCCCCAGCATTTGGGAATCAGGAGGTAGGGAAATAAAAGAGATTATAGTATAATCATATGGTGTACAGAAGAATAATAAAGGTGTTATCCCCTTTCATCCAGAACTTGCTGGTATCCATCCAAACGCATTGCAAAGAACCAGACATTCAATGTGGTGCATGTCAGAGGCAAAGAAGATTCTCTGGGCCTGTCTGGCTCTTTCTTGTCTGAAATAAGGAAGCAAAACCTTTCAAACCAGAGTTAGAGATAGAGGCTCAGAATTCTAGTTCCATGTTGAGGGAGTGAGTACAGAATCTTCTTCCATCAAAAATGTACAAATATCATGAATTAAAAATTTTTTAGTGCCTAAAACATAGGAGATGTTTAAAGTCAGAGTTATAGACTACTGCTCATAGCACTTATAGTCAAAGGGGTTTACACTTAGATATGGTCCTAAAGGAAAGGACTGTCATTTTATCCTTGTGCAGACAAGAGACAGTTGCTTTGGGCGCAAGTGAGGAGTGAACTATTTGGATAAAGCTGGATTCTTACAGGTTTGCACAGGCTATGAAAGAGGACTGAACATTTCCACCAGCCTGCCTTGAGAAGTTGCAAAGAAGCCTGCTCTCTGCATGAACTCTAGGGTAGAGGGGAAAAAACATCTCTCAAAAGAAATAAAAATCTCACATCCATGCCAACCCATCTGTTTAGAGTCTGAATTTACCCTCCACACAAGGCAGGGAATTCCCCACCAAATAATTAAGGAAAAAGCAGTTCAAGACTAAAATTTCTGGAGCCCAGGAGAAGATAAAGTATAAAAGTATGCTCCAAAGAAACATCCACACTGGACATGGGAATCTCACAGGAAAATATCCTTGTCTGCAGATGAACTTGGATTAAAATTCATAAGCAATGAAAGAAAGTGAACCAAGTGAGCCAGCAACAGCATATACAACAAAGAGGGGGAAAGACACCCCAAAGCAAAAGGAGACACAAACACTGAACAACCAGGCAGACTCATGTGGTTTAAAAGGTAGTATGTTTAAAAAGATAGAACACAACAAGAAAAGAAAATAAATTTATTAACTTGGAAAAGAACTAAATAGAACTTTCAGAAATTAAAAAATACAGCAATTGAAATTACTAAACAATGTCGTAGTCAAAAAGTTATAGTAATTGATGGGGACTTGCTCACAAAATAAGCAAAGCATACACTTTTAGTTTTTGTAGATATAATTCAACCATAAAACCTTGGCTGGAGAAAACAAAAAAACGAGCAACCCCCCTAACCCCCCGAGTACTAGTGAGACAAGTTTCTGGCATTTCAAGTGCCAAATAAGAGCACCCAACTGCCAAATACACTGCTTTATTGGTGTGGATACAATAAAAAAAAATCATTAAAAAAATGAAATAAAGGGTGACACCTGTGGCACAGTGAGTAAGACACTGGCCCCATATACCAAGGGTGGTGAGTTCAAACCTGGCCCGAGCCAAACTGCAACAAAAGCTGGGCATTGTGGCGGGGCTCCTGTGGTCCCAGCTACTCAGGAGGCTGAGGCAAGAGAATCACCTAGGCCCAGAAGCTGGAGGTTGCTGTGAGCTATGATGCCATGGCACTCTACTGAGGGTGACAAAATGAGACTCTGTCTCTAAAAAAAATAAAAGGAAAGAAAGAAAAAACAAAGATACAAGATACAAAACACAAACATAAAATGTTTATTATTAGCTTTCAAAAGTTATGAAATTATTTTGACAAATGATTATAAAGATTTCTAAATGCTCTGTTTTTGGCTTAATCTCAACTCAAGTTATTAACAAAAAGAAACCAATAATAGTGCTCCCAAGCAATACTTTCCAAATTTCCACATGCTTGGGAGTCCCCAGCTATTTTATTACAATGCAGATTCCAATGCAGTAGGTCTGTGATAAGGCGTGAGTATCTGAATTTCTTACCAGCTCAAAAATGGCATTGATGCCATCTAAGAAACTCACTTGACTAGCAATGGATGATCTAAAGATTCTAGAAGTGTGCCAGGCTGTCCACCTGATACATGTGACTGGTAAGAACTTTAAAATTAAGAAAGTTAACTGCTGTCAGTTCCTCAAGTGTTCTCACACCCCAGATAACCTATATAAAATGTCTTCCTGTAAATATATCTAAAAATGGTGGAAAACATTATAGAATTGGAAATTATATTTAAAGAAAATATTGAGAATGAAGCTCAAGAGTTCTCAATATATGAAAATATAAAAGAGAAATCTTAAAAACTCAAAAAGAATAGAAAAACCATAGAAACATAATAAGACTTCCAGGGGGACTAAAAGACTAGAAGATGACAGAATTGGAAAAAAATATGTTTTTACATTGAAAAAATATATTTATGAGCAAAAAAAAAATAAATAAATTTAAGAAATCCACACTTGGTAAAACCATAGAAAATCAAACAATAAGAAAATCTTAAAAGAAACAAAAAGGCAGATGAACATAGAAGTGTATTTAGACTGACAAAGAGTATCTTAACAATAATAAGAGTCCTCAAAGCACAGAATCTCTGACTATTGCATGGAAACAGCTTTCAACCTAGAATTTTATACCCAGCAAAGCTATCATTCAAAAAGGGAGGACAAAATGGACATTTTTAGACAAAGACAAAGATGTTAATTATTCTCAAGACCTCTCTCTCTCTCTCACACACACACATGTATATACACAAGGATATATTTTTCTATCGAGGAAATTGAATCTAGAAAGATGGGCTGGGGCTGCCAAAACCAAAGATGAATAAAGAATTTGGTAAATATGTAGGTTAATTTACATAAGATTAAAATAAAAAGAAACTATGTGGTGATATCACTTATACAAATTGTAAGATGCCAAAATCTTAAAATATCAAATTGATTAACATTGCATTAAATCAATAATATGTTACAAAGAAGATTTATTCCAAGGAAGATATATAAGGATGGTTAAATATTTTAAAATCTATCTATGCAATTTACCACATACACAGGATAAAGAAGAAAAATTGTGTCCACCTAAATTGATTTGAAAAATAGTTAATAACATTTTCAACCCATTTAGGTTAAAAATGCAAACTAGGGATAGAAGTGTGATCAGGAAACAGAAACTACATGGTAATTTGAACAAGGAAAGTTTAATATAAAGAATTACTAACTATATCCAGGGATTAGCACAATGAACGATTGACTAGCGGGAAGTAAAGAGAACTCTAAAGAATAACTCTCTACAGAGTACAAGACAGCACTTAGAAGGAGTAGCCACTATCCCTTGGACCAAGATAGAACACCCAAGAAAGAGGTCCCACTCTCACACCTAGGCAGACCAGGAGTGAGAACAAGATCTTATTCAAGAATGTACTGCCCCTGCTCAAAGCTCAGCAGAGAAGTCACAAAGGTTCCACGCCAGCAGAACTCACTGGAAACCCACCTTCTGGGTCCTGGGGAAAGCCATTACAGGAAGGTGCTGTGGAACTCCCCATACCGCTGCCTTTACAGAGCACCAGAGGAACCGTCTCACAGAGAGGAGCCCAACAGGCAGCCCTCCACTGTGAAGTCACCTGAGAGGAAGCCACTGACTGAGGGGTTCTGCTGACCCCTGTACGCTGAGGAGACAGATGACACAGCAGTCACCTGTGCTTCAAATGTCAGGCACAGGGAGGCCGTGAGAAGCCCACGCTGTGGGGGTCAGTGGTCCACAGTGGTACAGAGTGAGGGAAGGTACTGGGTTTTAAACCCAGAGCAGCCCCTTCCCCATGCAGTGTCCCTCCACATTGTGTAATGACAAAGCTTACCATCATGCCAACTGGCAAAGGAGAAATATTTGCAAGCTCCATCCCGTTATCACCAAGCAGATATTGAAGGATAGACTGGGGCTAAAAGATGGTAAGTTGATAGCTACAAAGGAGGGAAATTTCTTAACCTCATAAAAAGAGGTAGCTGAAAACTTCCAGCAAAATTAATGATGAAAAATTA